GCGTGGCTGACTCTTAACTTTTATAAAGAATATCTCTTTGGATTTGAGACTTTAGTCTTTGCAACTTTACAGATCTTCTTTATGCACCAAGAGCTTGTAACACTCCAAAGAGAAAGGAACAATTGAAATTGCATCAAAAAAAAAAAACTTTAACCAACAGTGGTTTAGTTACATCAACTTCACATAATAAACCACAAGCAACAAGCAGCCCTCAAACAAACATACCCATATTAGTTACAGGAGGATATAAATAAGGTTTTGACTAGTATAGCTATACGCTGATTATACCGCAGTATCCAGTCCACTAACATGCCACATAATTTGGGAAAGTGTGCATCAGTTAAGTAAGCAACATGTATTAAGCCGTTGATATGTTACTGGGCCGGTGTGATCAGCGACAAATGCAAGGATAAATGTTCACCACCTGTCTGCGTCCAAACAGAGAGCTTTTAACACATTTCAGTCACTAATCCCACATTAGCCTTCCAGGGTGAGTAGTTTCCACATGCAAAAGAAAGTGATGCAGAAGTACATTTAGAAATAATAAATGTTGATTATCACATAAACATAAGCGAGTAAATGTTTATTGCGGCAGATACAAACGCATTTCCACCACTACAGAACTAGTCAGAAGCAACAAATGCTTTCTCATGTACTCTCACTAAAATGTGTATTTTGGCCCTCAGCGACTGTACGATTGGAAAGGCTCTAATGAAGCCATTACAAACACTTTGCTACAACTTGAAGTAATGAAGGCTCGTCCTCCATTCAGTCATCCTTCCAGCAGCAGGATGAATCACAATCTAGCACACATATTACTCAATGCAACTAAAGGTCAGTAAAAGAAACGATTCACAGCTGTAATTAGTAACGTGTGCTGCTGGGCGAATGCAGAGGACACTGAAGGTAAAAAGACTGGGCAAACACGTCGCTTTTAATATCAAGCTTTAACTCAATACTAAAACGAGCTCATCATGCTGGACTTTTCAGGATGAGCATCCATCAGTCACGGGGAAGCCCGGCGCGTCACAGCAGCATCAGCACCAGCAGAGCACAGGATGAACATAACACAGTCGGCATGCCACTGAGACATTTCATCAACAACATCAGCAGCAGCCAGTGGGCAATGCTGGAGTAAAGACATGCAGTCATGCCAATATTAGTGATGGTTTTCTCGATAAACGGCAGCTGCTCCTATGTGTAGTAACTATCCCTCCGCCATGGTCAAATCAGATGTCTGCGCAGTAAAGAGATACGGGTTTTCTGTATGTAGATCACTCACCTGTGCTGTTCGTATAAACGACACGCGTGTCGGTGAGGATGCTCGGGTCACTTTGAGATCTTCCTCTCTGCACAACGCAATCTTCTGATCCATCTGATGTGGCCATGGAGATGAGAACAGACGATAATGTAGGAAAAGCCGATCTGTGTGTGGGGGTATGAGCAGCGAGCGAGATTCAGTCTGACAGCAGCAGCATCAGCAGCGCTGGAGGAGGAGAGCAGTGCGCATGCGTGTGCTGATGGAGCCCACGGACTGGAGGCGCATCTGGGTAGATTTTTTTTTTTTTAAACATTATGAAACACATAATTGGTTATTATGGCATCCTTCGTGAGTTTTACAGGTGAAAGTGTATTCACAATTGTCATATGTCATGCAATCGTTGTTATTTGAAACGCATTCAAGAGAAGCGTGTTACAGGGATTTCTCAGAGGAACTACAGAATCATTAGCCTGTGACGCCCTCCTGTGGGCTCTTTGTGGTATTGGAGCCACACGTCTGATGATGATGAGAGGTGAAATAAAGCAAGAACAGTCTGATAGAATCGATCAGATCGGAATGATTCAAAGCAGTTTTTACATGTTCTTTCGAGCAACAGTTCCCACCTAAACACAACACACAAGGCAAAATGTTGTGGGTTTTCACATAGGAGAGAGAGATATTCTTGTGATATTTAGGGTAAAACATACATTTCAGATTACTGAACATTCAAAACCAGTTTTAATATATATAAAAAAAAATTATTGGTTATCTAGCTATAGAAAACATTAGGGGAATGTTCCATTCTATTCAATTTTGCAAACGATAAGGGAACGTTCTTTTTGAATGTTCTGTGATGTTGCTATAAATGTTACGCCCTCCTGTGGGCTCTTTGTGGTATTGGAGCCACACGTCTGATGATGATGAGAGGTGAAATAAAGCAAGAACAGTCTGATAGAATCGATCAGATCGGAATGATTCAAAGCAGTTTTTACATGTTCTTTCGAGCAACAGTTCCCACCTAAACACAACACACAAGGCAAAATGTTGTGGGTTTTCACATAGGAGAGAGAGATATTCTTGTGATATTTAGGGTAAAACATACATTTCAGATTACTGAACATTCAAAACCAGTTTTAATATATATTAAAAAAAAAAATTCTTGGTTATCTAGCTATAGAAAACATTAGGGGAATGTTCCATTCTATTCAATTTTGCAAACAATAAGGGAACGTTCTTTTTGAATGTTCTGTGATGTTGCTATAAATGTTGAAGGACATTTGTTAATGTCATGATGTTAAGCAATGTTCATTTTAGCAATAACTGGTTATAGCTGTTAGTCTTTGTTCACTTTAAGGGGCGGGGATAGTCCGGCGCGGCGGAAGGCCGGGCTAGAGGGAGTTAAGAGTTAGTTGGGAGAGTGAGAGCACAGAGCAGCGAGTGCTATTCTCTTACTTGTTGTTCTTCTGTTTTCTTCGGTGTACGGCGTGGGTTACGGCCATAACAGTAACCCTCCTTCAGTGCTTTAATAAAGTTACAGAGCGACTGAGAACGCCTGGTTCATTAGTAGCGAAACGCTACAGTTCTCTAAACGTTCTGAAAGGCGATCGTTTAAAAAAAAGAAAAACGTTAGATGAATGTCCAGCTAAAACATTAAATAAATAAATGAATAAAACCTTCCATGAACAATGTATAAATAATGCTTTTGTGGACGTTATTAAGTAAGGGATAAAGTACATCCAGCAGGTTGTTATCTCAGAATAAACCCTGACAGGGTGATCTTCGCGGAGGGGTCTTGTATCAGCCTGAAGTGGTTTATTCTGAGATAACAACCGGCTGGATGTACACTATCCCGCTTATTACACGGCTAAAAAGATTTGTTTTTACCATATATGTTGAAATTAATGCTGAAGTCTTCCATTAACGCGCGGTGGTTAAGTGTTTTCAGTCACAAGATGGCGCCAGACAGTCAACGATAGCGGAGTGACTCCGAATTGAGGCGGTAATTAAAGCAAAAGGAGCCCCTACCATGTATTGAGTACATGTACAGTAAATGAACATACTTTCCAGAAGGAATGCTTTCCAACAATTCACTAAAAATGTTTTTATGAAGTATTCTATTTTATGTTCTTATGAAGTATTCTAATTTGTTGAGATATTGAATTGGTGGGTTTTTGTTAAATGTGAGCCAAAATCATCACAATTAAAAGAACCAAAGACTTAACTACTTCAGTCTGTGTGCATTGAATTTATTTTATACACGAGTTTCACAATTTGAGTTGAATTACTGAAATAAATGAACTTTTCCATGACATTCTAATTTATTGAGATGCACCTGTAAGTAGTACCGGTCAAGATAAATCGTAGTACCCGGATGAGCGGTGTGTTATTCAATTTGGCGGTTGTTATCTGGGAATAACATAACACTGGATGGCGCGATTGACCAATCAGAATCAAGTATTCCACAGAGCCGTGTAAAAAAAAATCTTTGAACAAATGTTCTATTAATGTTACTGGAACGTTTTTTCATAATTTTAAGAGAACCTTGCCATAATGTTCCCTGTTATATGTAAAACAAATAATAAATACAAACTTAGCTGCATTACACACTATTTCGATATTTATTAGCTATATGAATAAGTTCTACATATCATGCAAAGATTAATTTAAGGAAATTGCATATTGACATATTTACAAAAATTATTGTAGCTGCATGTATTTGACCAACAGATGTCCTCAGCGTGCGCTGTTCCGTTCGAAACAGTGAATCATGGTTCAATTGATTCGAAGATTCAGAAGGATTCATTTCTCCCATTACTAATGCAATCCTTTCCATTTATATGCACCTATATAGCAATGTGCAGCGAAATATTTCACTACGGAATTTAAAGAATGCCACGCGCACTGCCGTGAACCTTTTGGCGCAAATGAATCGTTGAACGGGTTTTGAATCGCTTCCGCCTTCCTTCACACAGATGCAGTAAATATGGCTGAAGGCGGTAGTGAATCTCGAGTAGATATTGTAGTAAACCATGCGTCTAAGTCAAGTGAAGCTGATCTCAGAAGTGTTCTGGTTACAAGTTTTTTGAATTTAGACAAGCTCGACACCGACCTGTACAGGTAAACAAATGACATTTTCACAATACAGTATATGGCTAGATATCCCGTATTACCTATAACACCACAACACAACAGAAATCTGAATGAGTCATTTCGTTTTGTGTGTGTATATATATATACACCACACTAACAAAAAGTACCATGTTTTTCTTTCTCACAGAGGGACACATCACTGGGTTCCTCGCACTAAACGCCTGTTCGGGGGCCAGATTGTTGGACAGGCTCTTGTAGCCGCAGCCAATTCTGTCAGTGAGCATCTCTGTGCCCATTCACTGCACTGCTACTTTGTGAGAGCAGGTAAATTCTGACTTTTTTCTAATTACATATAGGCTTATGCATATGGAAAGTTTGGTTTCCCCTTTATTTTTTCAGCACTTGCGTGTTTCAGGGGACCCAAAGGTGCCTGTGCTGTACCAGGTGGAAAGGACTCGGGATGGCCGCAGTTTCTGTGTGCGATCTGTCAAAGCCATTCAGCACGGTCAGCCCATACTGATCTGTCAGGCATCGTTTCACATGCAGCAGCCGAGTCCTCTGGAGCATCAGTTCAGCATGCCCTCCGTCCCGCCGCCGGACACGCTGCACACCGTAGAGGAGCTCATTCAGCGCTACCTCAGGTCTCAACCAAAACAATGTGCCTGCCGTAGTGTATTATTAAAGGAACACTCCACTATTTTTGAAAATAGGCTCATTTTCCAACTCCCCTAGAGTTAAACAGTTGAGTTTTACCGTTTTCAAATCCATTCAGCCGATCTCCGGGTCTGGCGGTAGCACTTTTAGCTGTAGCTTAGCATAGATCATTGAATCTGATTAGACCGTTAGCATCTCGCTCAAAAATGACCAAAGAGTTTCTATATTTTTCCTATTTAAAACTTGACTCTTCTGTAGTTACATCGTGTACTAAGACCGACGGAAAATTAAAAGTTGCGATTTTCTAGGCCGATATGGCTAGGAACTATACTCTCAACTATACTACTATTCCGGCGTAATAATCAAGGAACTTTGCTGCATGATATTACGCAGCGCCTGAAAATAGGCTTATTGGAAGTTACCTAGCTGGGGACTATTTTCAGGCGCTGCGTAATAGATAAGGAAAAATCATAATAAATAGAAAAAATATCGAAACTCTTTGGTCATTTTTGAGCGAGATGCTAACGGTCTAATCAAATTCAATGATCTATGCTAAGCTACAGCTAAAAGTGCTA